CGAAAGTAGGTATCTGGTTTGTTTCGGTTCTATTCGAAACAATGTATAACTCCAGCTCTGACTCCAGCTCTGAGATCCCAGCTCGCTGAAAGCTGGTTTCTGGGGTTTTTTTTTTTAGCTTCTATATTTGTTAAAATGTTTCAAACTGCAGGCTCAGAGGCCTGCAAGGCAGGCAGGGAACATTGGAGTCCTCCGTCACTGAAGCAAGCAAGCCTCATGTTAGTTTCAAGCTGCCTGGCTGCTGGCTGCCATCTTGGCAGGCAGTTAATTTGCATATTGCCCTGATTAGCCAATGGGAAGGGTAGCGGTCGTACACCAATTACCACGTTTCTCTTTTATTAGATAGGATGGGGTTTTGTTCCTTGGCATGAAGAAATGATAGTTAACATTTAATTGTAGCTTTTAAGTATCATAATTTAAGTTGCTTAGAAATTATATATGACAATAGTACCACTTTGTGGATGGGATATAAGGATTAATTCGCTCAGGGTTTAAATGCAGACACTACTATCAGGTGTTTTGTTTTGTTTTTAATTAAAAAGGGTTAAGTTTACTCACAGTTACATGTAATGTATTTCATAATGGTCTTGTTTCGAAAGATGTTCTAAATCTAACTTCTGTTTAGCAAAGGAGAAAGTAAAGGTGATCATGCAAAATATATTCACTATTTTTACATTATCTTAAAGGAAATATTGACCTCAAATTTTGTCATTCTGCTTTTAATACAACTGAAAGGAATTTAAAAAGTTTGAACCACTTTCCTGGCCTTCTTCCTTGCTCCCATGGAGCCAAGAATGATAGGATTAGACTTCATTCAAATGTATATGAAATAATTATTCTCCGTGGATGGGTTTTAAAAAAAAGATCAGTACTTATAGGTGAATTAATAAATCCTCTTTTCAGGATATAGAAATAGTCTTTATAAAGTGATAAGTATAAGCTAATGTGGCAATTCTCTTTATTTTAGATCTCTTCTGTGCAGAAGAAAAATGAAGATTTAGGGCAAGAAGAAATTGTTCAGCTTTGTATGAAAAATGTAAAATGGGTAGAAGACCTATTTGAAAAATTTGGAGAACTTCTAAATCATGTACAGCAGAAATGCTCCTAACATTTTCAGAAAATTTTCATCTGTTTTGTAGCACTAATGAAATGGTGGAGGGAGTGATCAAAGTTGGTCTAGAACAGTGGTTCTCAACCTTCCTAATGCCGCGATCCTTTAATACAGTTCCTCATGTTGTGGTGACCCCAATTTCATTGTTACAAATTGAAGATAATTAAAGCATAGTGATTAATCACAAAACAATATGTAATTATATATGTGTTTTCCGATGGTCTTAGGCGACCCCTGTGAAAGGGTCGTTCGACCCCCAAAGGGTCGTGACCCACAGGTTGAGAACCGCTGGTCTAGAGCCTTGGATATCAAATGTCAAGTAGTGATCTCCTGCAGGCACACCTGCTCTGACCATAGAACTTGCTTGCATCCTGACCTCTGCTGAAGGACAGTGGTGCTGCCAAGGAAGGCAGTCCTTTGAAAATGGATCTACGTCCCACCACATTTTTATCCTAATGAATGACTTTTCTATTTTGTAAACCATTTGGTAACTGAGTTTTATTTTCAGAAATGTTTTTTGACAAATGATGAAGCATGCACTAAATATAATTTTTCTTTATTTTAGGTAACACTTAAGTAGCTTGATTATTTTTTCCTGACTCTGACTAAACACCAGAATGATAGAAAGGTGGCAGAAATCATATGTTTGTATTCATGTCTGGCCACAAAACAGAAAGTATTGTACATGTGTAAACAGATCTGGTGTGCTATGACATTCTGTATGAGAATATCATCAATTTAAAATGTAAAATTCAGAAACTGCATTCTGCTTTACAAACTCCTTTTACTCTTAACATGTTCAGGAAACTGGATGTGGAATTGGTGCAATTCTATGACTGCTTTTTGTGTCAAATTATATTGTGATAAAAAAAACCCGATGACATACTATCTTCCTTATCTCGAAGAAAAGTATTTTCCTTTATACTGTTTTTTTTTCCTTTGGAAAAAAATTTCAATTGTACATTTTATTTCACTAATAGTTGTATTTTTCACAAGGAAAATGTTGTGATTATAATTGTTTGATGTACCTGTACTACACTTTTCATTTTCAGTAAATCTTATTTAGTTATATGTTGAATTTTAATTGTGAATTCTCTCTTGAGGTAACCTTTTTTGTTTATACAGATTTGCTTCAGTGTTATCCAGAATATGCATTCAGTACTAGAATTAGTTTAGCTTTATAATGGGGTTGTGTTAGACACTGCTGTAATTTTCTGATTCATGAAAATAAATTTCTTACTAAACAAGCATTTGATTATTTGTTGAAGCAAAAATCTAACCACATTATACATTTTAAAGAATAAAATTTATAATTAGATTACATGCATGCAGTGTTAAACACAGCCTACCTGACTCTCAGAACTGGAAGTGGTAGAGCTCTCCTTGGTGCCTTTCCAACCTTTATACATGCTATCATAGCTAGTTAATTTGTCAATTTGTCAAGTACGCAGCTGAGAGACAGTGAATGTATTAGGTTCAACATGACCTTGTGTTTTTTGTGTTTGCCAACAGGATGCCTTATTTGTTTGAGAAAAAGATTTAATAGTGTCCTTCTAAATGATCTCCTTTTTTAGGATTCTAAAGAACTTGTTAATCATCATACTTTTGTTTATTTTACTACCACTTAGTGCCTTAAGTCCTATCAAGAAAGCAGTGTTACTGCTCAATGCCCAAATAAGACGTGCTTATGTAGCTATTGCTATTGTCTTCATTTTGAGTTAACAGGCTAACTTCTTACAATTAAAAACCTAAGTAAACTGGCAAAGAATTGAAGGTAACATGTGACTTGATTTGGGAATAAAACGTAGCATTGAGTGAAAAATGAGTATTGAGTTAACCTTACATATTTATTTCTGATGGTTATCTTTTTAAAAGCAATAATCCTTAATTCAACAATCTTTGTACCTGCCATTAGACAAGATACTCAATATCAAAGTTTCTCTCTAGGGTTAAATGTTTCATTTCTGAAAGTTTTATAAAAACAACACCTGTTTAGGCAGCTTATTTTGAAAACAAAAATAACCTAGATTCATTTTGATAGTTCAAATAAGAAACTATCAGCAAGTGAAAGCATCTTAAAATTAATTTCGTTATATAGAAAAGTAGGAAGCAGCTATATCTCTTTCTGGTACTGACTCTGGACAGAATTGGTTTCTTTCATTTCAAAGTACAAAGTAGGTAACTATATCTCCTAATGTAGTGTTTAAGTATACATCTTTACTCCCCCAACTTTCTTGCCTGAATCACTGATGATTTATATTTTTTTAGAAGCTGTGTTGCATTTAGGTAACTTTAAGTACATGTTTGAAATCACTAGCCACAGTTTCTTCACAAGGTCCATGGAAAACATGTTTCCTATAGAAAACCACCCATTTTCTTTTCAACTGCAGTTGTCCTCAAACTCTTTGCAGTTGTATTCATTGTAATAAAACAAGTGTTTTCAATAACATCAGAGGCCAAGTCTATAATACTGCCTGGAAGAGATCCATTGTTTTATACCATTTTTTTTCTCATGTAATCCACATTACATGAGATTACATCAAACTTGGGCTTTAAGGGAAAGTGGGACAATTATGACAACCATATATAAGTCCTTTAAGAAGCCGAATAAATATCTAGCTGGGTAACATTCACATTCCTTGCCAGGGAGTTTAAAATTTATAATGTAGAAATAACTTCAGGTTGTAGATTGAGTTAAAGAGGGGTAAAGCACATGTTGCCACAACCTAGAAAAACATGTTTAAGGAAGATTAGATTTTTTTTTACCTACAGATATCTGGAAACAATTTAATATAAAAAGTCATATGTTGGTGTTTGTTTATAGTGCAGATTAGTGGTTGGGGAAGTGGCCTCGAAAACAGTATGATGGAAAAATCTTAAAATTTTAAAGGGCTTAGAAAATGTTCAGATTATCTTCCAAGTTTCTGAAATTTAAAAATGAAAATTATAGATGACTCATACGTTACTATTATTTTCAAAGCTTTCCTCACGTTTTTTAGTCTCACTTTCCTTTTACTATACATATTTATTTTCAGCTATTTTCCAACCTATGACTTTGGCAATATACCCATAAAACCAATGTAGCAGCAGGGTTATTGAATCAGCTTTGGGTCCCAAAAGTTTCTTCAGCTGTACAAGTGAATTTTATTGTATTTGTAGAATACAGTTTTTGTTTTAAACTGTACTTTCATCTGTTGCCCAAAAATGCTATTTAACTAGAGTAAAAAATCCCAGGATAACTGCTTCTGCGTCAGTTGCATTCGACACATAAACTGCACAAATGAACAATGTACGCTACTGGTTGGTTGTACATTAACTTCCATGTGCAACTTTTAGCATCTGTGTTCTCAAATGCATGTTTTTGTAAATCACCTTCATTTATAAGTGGCAATAATTGAAGTTAAGGATACAAAGAAACCTGCATTTGCAATCCAGAGTTTTAAGTGGTCCATAATACAATACAATGTATGGAAATGTGAAAGATAATTTTGTATATTTGTTTGTTACTAACTCAGATCATTAAAATGAAAGCAATTTTTTAAACAACAAAATCAGAATGTTTGGGGTTTGGTCTATTTTTTAATATTTGGAAACAGGTATTGTATTTTACTAAAGCATCATCATATTACAGATTTCTCATACAACACATATCATGTAGAGTCCTAAACAAAGTTATTAGGTATAGGTGGTATATGATCCACCGATGATTTTCTAAAATTAAGTCAATATTGATTAATTATATACTACCTCAGCTGACAATATCAGAAAATAACTGAGTTTGTGTTAAGGTAGAACTCTTTTAGTCCTTTTCTACCTGTAAAGGTGTATGAATCCATTAATTCACCTAATTTTTTATTTGAAAATAAAGCAAAGCTAGAAGTAACTGCTACTCTCAAGATATTTTTATTATCTATATTAAAAGGTAAAAAATGTGTCCTGACTGATCCTTTAATTTTCAGAATAAGATGCTGCCTTAACCTTCAAATAATATTTTAAAATACTAAATATTTCAAACAAAAATATTGTCAGCATCTTTTAAAATATTTTATTGATTTTTTACAGAGTGGAAGGGAGAGGGATAGTTAGAAACATCAATGAGAGAGAAACATTGATCAGCTGCCTCCTGCACACCCCAAACTGGGGATGTGCCCGCAACCAAGATACATGCCCTTCACTGGAATTGAACCTGGGACCCTTCAGTCCGCAGGCCGACGCTCTATCCACTGAGCCAAACCGGTTAGGGCTATTGTCAGCATTTTTGCTGTTTTAGTTTTGGTTATATAAGAACTTATTCCTTGATTTATTTTACACAGTTCAAAACTAAAACTTTAATCAATGATCTCTATCAAAAAGTATTTTAAAATTCTGTAACATATCTCCATTTGGTTGCTGACATTGCTGTTCATTTTAGTATTTCTGCACAAAATATTTTAGAATACAGCCACTATTCAAAACTATATATTCACATACAAAGCTAAATGACAGAAATTAATACTACACTGCTTTGTTAATGTAGTTCTTTTTTAAAAAAAATATATTTTTAATGATTTCAGAGAGGAAGGGAAAGGGAGAGAGAGATAGAAACATCATTGACTGGCTTCCTCCTGCACGACCCCTACTGGGGATTGAGCCTGCAACCTGGGCATGTGCCCCTGACCAGAATCGAACCTGGGACCCTTTAGTTCACAGGCTGAAATTCTATCCACTGAGCCAAACCAGTTAGGGCTTATATTCTTTTTTTAGTATTTTAAAAAACACTTTGTAGCCAGGCTAGTGTGGCTCAGTAGTCAAGCACTGACCCATGAACCAGGAGGTCCAGGTTCGATTCCCTGTCAGGGTACATGCCCAAGTTGAGGGCTTGATTCCCCAGAAGGGAGCATGCAGAAGGCAGCCAATCAATGGTTCTCATCATTGATGTTTCCCTTCCCTTTCCTCACTCTGAAATCAATAAAAACATTTAAAAAAAATTTGTATCTCAATGAAACTCGGTTATTTAACCTGTCTCAGAGAAGATTTGAAAGGGAATACTGCTACTCTTTGTTTTTCCATGTGGAAATGTTTCTATTAGCAGAAAAATAATAAAACTACTCATAATTTTTCTTAAAGTCCAAGAATATAAAAATGAACTTG